AAGATTATAATTCTCTTTGCATCCTAATAGGAAAACTCACCCTTGATGCCATGTAATTGAAATACAAAGGAGAAAGAAGATGATTTGAACAGAGCTGGGCAGTGTACAGAAAGCTTAATGCATAACTGGGAAGAACATGCAGTGTGCGTAGTAAGTGAAATGGGTAATCAGGATCATTCCCGTCTGGGAGACAGAGCGGAGTCCCAGCAGGAGGAGAAGATGGGACAGGCCCCGGGGCACAGAACTTGACCTGGGACCTAAAGAAAAGTCACCTTGAAGTGGGCCACAGTCATGGGAAGCACAGAAGGCAGAAGTGGAAAGGGCCATGTGGCTGAGCATTTGGGAGGGGTGGGACTGAGGAGCGCAGAGAGGTGGCCTCGAAGAGTGGCAATCCTGCGTTTGTGGCAAGGAGGGAGAGGAAAGGCTAGATTTAGACACAGGGACTTTGAGATGGAGACGGGGGAGCCTGGTGTGCTGCTCTTGAGAATCAGGCTCATTACTTTATAATCGTTTTCAACAGTAAGTGGTATTATCTGCTTGATCATGTGCCGCCTAACGAGAGTTGGCTCTAAATCACTTTTGTCTGTTTCCAAAAATAAAATCTACCTGGGAAGAACTCAGAATTTTCACTACCAGAGACACCAAAGAGAGCGTGCTACAGTTTCTAAAAGCAATTTCTAAAAGATCGTGCTACAGTGTTTTACATTTTCAAGACTTAGCTCAGGGCCCGGCATGTATTAAGCATAATAAATGTTTGTTTTCTAAAGTAGCAAATGAAGAGCATCATAGATTATGGTTTTAAAGCTCATTAGTTTAAATGATGAGTCTGATCTCCTGGTTATCAAGCATTTAATGAATTTTGGAACTCTATATGATGATGAAAATTATCGCTATGTACTGAACATTTACTACAGGTGAGGCACGAAGAGTTTTACACATTACCTTCTTAACCACCTAGAAAAAGTACAAGTTGAGCATCCTTCACCTGCAGTACTCAGGACCAAAAATATTTCAGAGTTTTGAATTTTTCAAACTGTGGAATAATTGTATAAATGTAAGGTGACATCTTGGGAATGGGACCCAAGTCTAAACATGAACCTTTTATTTTTCATATACACCTTAAACACTTGGCCTGAAAGTAATTTTATGCAGGATGTTTTTAGAACACCTGTCTTTTGGCTGTGACTTCTTACATGAAGTTGCGTATGGAATTTTCCACTTGTGGCTTATGTTGGTGCTCAAAAAAACTTCAGACTGTGACATTTTAGGTTTTTGATTTTCGGATTAGGATTGTTTCTTTAATTACTTTCCTCACTTCCATTTTTTTTTTTTGGTTTTTTGAGACTGGGTCTCATTATATAGTTGAGACTGACCTGGAACTCAATATGTAGCCCAGGCTGGTCTCGAACTCACAGCGATCCTCCTGCCTCAGCCTCCCAAGTGCTGGGATTACAGGCATGTGCCACCACGCCTGGCTCCTTTTTTTGTTTTTTTTTTTTTTGTTTTTTTTAAATAGAAGATGAGACTGAGGCTCAGAAAGTTAAAGTGACAAAGCACAAAGTTGTATGTTGAGTAAGCAAGCAGCTCAGTAATTCATTCAGTGTTCAGGTTTTAGGCTGCTTTTATATATTGTTGTACCCCCCTCACTCAGGAATGTATATTGCTTTGTAATTTAAATGACACATGCCCTCTGCTAAGGGTGTGACTGAAGAGTAATGATGGATTAATTGTACTTGTTTACATCCTTCTCTTGGTACTAGGAGAGACAGGCCTTCCCCTAGGCAGAAGCACTGTACCTGGTTACCCTTTCCTCTGAAACGCTGTACTTGGGGCCGGGTGGGGTTGCCCACCATACCTGCACAATTCTGAAGGATTGGTAGGCCCAGTACTGTTCCATTCCCAGGTGGAACTGTTGGTGTCTTCAGACAATATGTATTTAAGTGCATACTTAAGGTATGATTCTTTTGGTTTCATGTGACTATTATGAATGATAAACAGATTTAACTTAATTTCTAAGAGCTGTTGATCTATGGGTGATCAGTATATGTCACCCTAATAGCTACAAAATCCAGTAAGTTTGCTGGAGCCTGTTGTCTCAAGAGGTGCAAACCGTGAGTCATGTTACACAGCATTGCTCCTGACATTTTAACCTGTTACCCCAGCTTTGGTGACTGTGTTAGTTATTTTTCTTGTTGCTGAGACAAAATACCTGCCACCCAGAGTTAAAGGGGGAAAGGTTTATTTGGCTTACAGTTCATGGAGGTTTCAGTCTGTAATCAGCCGGCTCCAAGGCAGGTACAGTTCATGGCGGACAGTAGCAAAGCAGCAAGAGACCTTACTAGTGTCTTTCTGCCCCTTTTGTTTTATCCAGACTACTTAGGGCAGGTAGCATTCACACCCTTAATCCTCACACCCTGAGCCTAGCATTGCACCATGAATGGATTTCAGCCTCTCACACTCTAGACCCAGCCACCTCTGAAAAAGCCCCTCCTAAGACCACATGAAACGTTGTGTCTAAACACAGCCCATAACAATGACAGAGGTGAACGGAGTTTCATTATTTATTTATTTATTTATTTACTTTTTGGTACCAGAGATCAAACTTGGGTCCTTGTGCTTACAAGGCAGGCGGCGGCACCACTGAGCCAAATCCCTGGCCCAAAGCGGAATTTTAAGAAGTGGAATTTCTTCATTTCGCGCGTTATCAAAAGAATAACTAATTCTCCAGAGTAGGTGAAACTTGTGAGAAATATGACTAATATACACATGCTCTGAAAAATCAGCTATGTTTGAAAGAATTATGCAATGCAGTTATGAAATGTTTGGGAGGGTGAGCCATTTTTGAAGTATATGAAAAAAATGTAATATATGATCTGTGTAGAAAAAACAAAACAAAACAGCAGAGCACCACCAGCCAAGCATTAAGTAGAAAGCAGACTTCATTGTTGTAACTGCATTCACCATGAGGAGACAAAGTAGAGTGGAGCTTGGGAAACCCCTTGCCTTTTCCTCCCCTTTCCCCCAGATTTCTTTTATGTTCACACCTGGAAAATCACAACAACAACAACAATAAATCCACCCATTTCTTCTTGCAATAGGCAGTTTTAATCTTGACCAAATGTGTGATTGACTAGACAGATTGAATGAGGCATTGGGTTTTGAGTCTAGTTTAGAATAGTGACATTGTTCTTAGAATAATGTCCACACTGAAAGCTGTACTGGTACTATAAGAAAAATCAGAATTTTGCAGCAATATGATTTACTTTTGAATATTCAAAGGATGATTAATGTTATTGATGCTTCTAACATTATTCTTGGTCATATCCTTATATACTTTTAATAAAAATTCATGAAGGTTTTTTTTTGTGTGTGTACCAGGGATCAAACTTAGGACCTTGCACTTGCAAGGCAGGCAGCGGCATCAGTGAGCTAAATCCTGGCCCAAAAATTCTTTAAGTTTATTGGTACATTTCAGGTATACAATAGGATAACATTCATCATTGGAAATTTGTACCTTTACATGTTATATCTTGGTTCTTATTTTTTCCCCATTCCCCTGCCCCCCTTCCACTACTCCACCCCTCCCTATTTACAAAGACTTTGTTTCTGTTTTGTCCTTTCCTCGTAGTTTTTCCTTTCCTCTTTGGACCTTATCTTTCTATTTCATATTATCTATTATATGTTTCAATCATCATTTACACTTTCAGTTCCTTATATACTTTTATGAGTAAAACTTCCTCCACACGTTCCCCCTTCCCCTCTTTGAATCTCTTTTGTTCTTTCATTCCTCTTTGGTCTTCAGAATTCAATTTCGATATTCTTCTGGTCTCATCTCCTGTATATTTCATGTAATTTTTTCTCTGTCCCTTCCTACAGCTTATACCAAGCTGTTCTCTATCTGTTACTCGTGTTAATACTGATTTAATTTTATTTTTTCCTAGTGTGTTCTCTGCTACTTTTAATTGCTTTTCCTTACTGCATTTTAATGGTTTTGCTTTTTACTGTGCACATTGAATTTTGACATTTACTTTTAAGATTCTTTAAAGAATAGGAATTAAATATTTTATATACTTGGAACTTTTTTCATTAAAAAGTTCTAAGAGCATAAAATATCTTTAAATGCATCTTTCTTTCCAACATGGTATTGCCAAAGGAGCGGAGACCAAACACAAACTCTGTGATGTGTCTGTGATGTCTTTTATTACAGGAAGTTACTCATTTCATGTTAGAGAATCACTTCCTATATACTGGTCCCAGAACATTTATCTGTGGCACCCAAACTACTTATTACATGTGTGTGGAACAATCTTTTTAATAATAACTTTTCTCTACTCACATTTAGAGACAACAAACTATTTATTGTCACTCAAATCTAATAAATACTTTGGTTCTAATGAGACTTTAGTCCTAAGAGTAACTTCTATTATTTTAAGTAATACATTTATACTTACTTTTGTCTTATAAGTTATTTATATTTCACTTCAAAAATATGAGAAAGATAGCCGGATGTGGTAGCGCACGACTGTAATCCCAGCACTTGGGAGGCTGAGGCAGGAGGATTGCTGTGAGTTTGAGACCAGCTTGGGCTACATAGTGAGTTCCATGTCAGACTCAACTACATAGTGAGACCCTGTCTCAAAAAACAAAAAACAAAACAAAACAAAAAAGTGAGAAACATATATATATATATATATATTTTTTTTTAATTGGGTACCAGGGATCAAATTTGAGCCCTTGTGCTTGTGAAGCAGGTGGCAAAACCACTCAGCTAAATCCCCGGCCCAGAAGCATTTATATTTAATAAATACATGAATGAGTGTCAGCTCTTTGAGAGGGATTTGGGAAGTAAAACTGCTAGATTAGTTGAATTTCCTTTAAATATTTAAAAACATTACACTTTCTTTATTTTTGCTTTATAATTTTCATCCAGATATTTATCCACCTTTTTTCCTCCTCACTGGGCCAAGTCTACCCACTGTGTGGCTGCTGGGTTCTTTGGCCAGATACTTCAGAGGTCTGGCTCCCCTGTCTTCATCTTGCGATAGTGAAGGCACAGTGTGCTCATCAAACACACTCGAGAGCCCTTGTCTGAGAACACAGGCATTTATGGAGCAGTCTCTACCTTTTTGGAAAGGAGAAACTTGTTGGTCATCAGCTCACTGTGTGTGAGCCACCTCCACTACTGTTCCTTTGGCCTTGGGTTCCATGTGGCCTCTTCCTTATGTAGTTGGAAGAATCAGTACTGTGTATCAAGCTCCGGGTTTTCTTGTGTGAGTTAGGCGTGTGAAACATTTCTGTCTTAGTTTCCAGGAAGCATGAAGATCAAACTGTCACAGTCTTTCACATAGCCAGCTCCCTGGACAATCCCTAAGGGTCCTTGTACAAATTAATATGCAGTAATAGGACGAAAAGGCTAGGTTCAGAAGTTGGGATTCTTTTGTGACTCCACAGTTGTGGGAGAAACTCAGAAAAGGTGTCCTTTGCCTCATTATTCTCTGCTTCCTTGTCAGAGTACCCTAACTGGTCAACATAGCTCGTGTTCATGGGTGACATACAATTCACAGGCTGAGGACTTTATCCGCATGGATTGCAACCAAGGGAAATCTCAACCAGCAGCTAAGAAGACTGCGAGACTATGAAAAGCAAAAGCTTTGTTGAGTTACTGTTGTGGAAGTAGCCAACAACATGGTGGTATCTCAGGTTATTCTAAGAGGTTGGTTAATAAATATGTCAATTTAATTAAAAAAAAAAAAAGCCTGTGTCATCTGCTGAGATCGGAGGTTAAGGATAGTGGAGAAGATTTAACAGTCTTGTGTGCATGAGAGTAGAAGTTGACTAGAAACATCCTGGCAGTACTAAAAGCCAATTTCAAATTGGTTATTATGATTTCTTAAATGTGACCATTCTGCTATTACCTGCCTTTTCCAGCTGGGCTTGTGTGTGGGTATCAGCAAAGATAAAAGAGTTAGATAATTGGGCCCATTGGGTTATTTCTGACAGGTATGACCTAAAAAGACAGGATCAAAGGTATTTTGGACATTGGTATTAGCATGATTGAAGTGGGCCGTGAAAGCTGAGCTGGTAAGGAAAGCATGTAAAGGAGAAGGCTGCCGGAAAGTGGAGCTGTCCGTGGCTCGAGGTCCTTGTGAAGTGGAGTAGTTAAAACAAAGGCAATCGAAAATAAAAGAGGTTCCAGGAAAATGTTGAAGAGAGAGCAGTTTCCTGTGGTGATGTCCTGATCCACGAAGGTGGGAATAGGGGTTAACAAGTGTGACCATTAATCCTGGTTTGTCTAGTCCATGGGGTTAAGAAATGCCCATCCAATTTTACACACCCTTTATGTATCTGTCTGAGTCTTGCAGGTGTGACCTTGGTTACTGTAGATGGTCCCTCGCTTACTCCTCTCTAGCACTTTTCTGTTTCCTGACCATCATGAGCCTAGCAGCTTTGCTTCACCAGGCCCCTCTGCCATGATGTTTCTGCCTTGGAGCCAGCCAACCACAGACTGAAACGCGAGCAAAATTAAACCTCTCCTCCTTTAAGTTGTGGGTCTTAGGTTTTGTATCCAGCAACAGGAACTCTGACTCATACAGCTAGAGTACAACAGAAGCTAGAGGTATTTGAAGTCACCCTGGATGGAGGGAGAGCTTGGGAAAGTAAGATGACAGATCCCAAGTAGACTGTGCCATATAACTCAGTGCATAGGTTCCAAGGAACTCTGAACTCTGTGTGTGTGTGTGTGTGTGTGTGTGTGTGTGTGTGTGTGTGTGTGTGTGTTTAAGGAGATGGACACAAGTGGTCCCAAAGCAGTAAGGGTCGGGAAAGGAGGGAGATAGTGAAACAATCAGCTCCATTTCTTTGTTGCTCTTTGGTTTATACAATTACATTCTACGAGGGACTTCATAAAATAAATCATTCAGATACTAAAAACATTTTCTAGATATTTACTCACATTAAATCATAAGTTTCACGTTCATATCTCTTCCCATCAACTCAGAATAACAGATACTCTAACTTTAACTTAGCATCCAACAGTATCTAATATACCCAATTGGAGAATTAAGGGAGGAAGCTTTTCATAATGAAAACACTAAACACTTTTCCAGCAAATATATAGAAAATAAGATGATATTAGTATAGAAACAAATGCTTTGTAACTCGAAGTATTACTGGAACATAAATCTACAGCTAAATTAGTGGATCTTGTTCATGTTTGATGGAGTCCTTAGTACGTGGTTGAAAAGCTCCATTAGTAGAGATTCAGGTTTGCAGCACTTGAAATAATTCTCAATTAATTATACATATTCAAAAAATGCTATCACATACACATGTGACTGCAAAAAATATCCCTGTAACCAAACCAGCCTTGTTTTGCGCACCCCATAGTATGCCAACCACGGTAGCAAGAAGTTTTGTGAAAGAGACAGTATGTGGGAAATGTCTAGTTGTGTGGAGAAAGGTGAGCTTGCCTCAGATCTGCTTTCCTCAGCCAAGAGTTTAGGATTACGAATGGGATAAAGAAACCAGGTGGTCTGAGGCTGAGACAAGATGATTGGAAATAAGGAAAAGTCATTGTTAGTCTGTACTTTGGATAATCGACCTTCATAGCTCTGTATAGGATTTATGTTTAGAAAATGGCAGCATCAGCATGTTCTGAGGGTGGGGTTTTGGGCCCCTAACATCAAAAAGTCACCCGTTAGGCACTTGAACAGGGCCAAGTGAAGGGTCAGTGGTTTCAGCTGATTTGAGATGGTCAAAAACAGCCTCCAAGTTCCTGAAAAACAATGTAGGCAACCATAATCATCATTGCTTGTACCCCAGAGGTATTATCTGTTACGAAGCTAATGGGAATATATTGCTTACCTCCTCCTTACCGCCTCTAAAATTAGTGGTAATGACTAGTAAGTAAAAAGTGAGTAACATTAGAGGATGCATTCAGGTTTTCTCTCAGTTTCATTCCTTCCTGGATTCTTAAAGGTACTTAAGCCCAGATTTAAAAATTTAAAAATTATAAGCACCAAGATTGATTATGTAAAGGTACAAATTCCAACAATGAATGTCATTGTATACCTTAAGTATACAAATAAAATTAATTTTAAAAGAAAAAATTATACTTATTTATTATTTCATTGTAAAAAAATTCCTAAATGTAACTGTATTTTTTTTTTTTTTTTGCACCAGGGATTGAACTCGAGTCCTTGCGCTTGCGAGGTAGGTGGCAGAACCACTGACCTAAATCCCCAGCCCTGTAACTGGATTTTAACTACAGAGTGAGTTGGAGAATGTTGCTGTTTAGTGGAATAGAAAAAAAAAATTATGTTGTTTTTGTGATAGGTTGTTTTGTTCACAAGTTATTTTATTTACTTTGAAGACCTTAGTAACTTGTGACCAAAGAGCCAAAGAGGGCATGTATATAGAGTGATACTGAGGTATGTTAATTCTGTATTCTGTCACCATGGGGAGTTACTAGAGTGAAATGCTTCTCTTGATTCCTTTTCCGCTTACCCTGTGGTGTAAACTTCTCCATAGTTATGGAACTTTGCAGCATGGTGGGAGACACTAGGCTGCAGTCCCTGTGCCTTCAGTGTAGCAGTGGGAAGCCAGCCTGAGATCAGCACAAGCTTTGCATCAGAGGTGTTTAACCTGGGGGCAGCTGGCGGCCACAGGGATGTCCTTGAGCCCTTTTACTTGTGTACATGAAATTTTCTTTTTTGAAATGGGGTCTCACTATGTAGTTGAGACTGACCTGGAACTCACTATGTAGCCCAGGCTGGTCTCACAGCAATCTTCCTGCCTCAGCCTCCTGAGTGCTGGGATTACATGCGTGCGCCACCATGCCCACCCAGCTCGTGTACATGAAGTTTTCAATTGGTTGTTAAAGAGTTCTGTGGCCCTAGGGAGACTGACTAAATAATCCATTGATTTAACACTAATCCTCTTTGAAAAGTATATAAAGCACATAGATTCTTTACATTGAGTCAATTGAGGTTTGATTAAACTTTTCTCTTCATAAAATGGCAGATTAATACAATTTCAAAGGTTTTTTTTTTTAGTTGATATAAAGTTCTTTTGAGAAAAATTCCAGATAGATAATTTGACTTTGCCCATTTGATTTATTCAGCTGTGCAGAACAGATACCCTGGTTTGTTTCCACAGTGGTTATGCAATTAAATTCATGGCAATTGAAAAGTAATCTCCATGATTGAAAATAGCACAGAGCTATTTTGATGCCAATAATAGTGCCTTAACACTTTTTTAGTGTTGCTGTCACAGAATTGTTTTTCCTCAATAAAGGCCTGATCAAGATAACAATAAAAATAGCTAATTTTTAGTGAGTACTCACCATGTGCCAGATACTCTGATAAGAGCCTAATGTGCCTTGACTCACTTAGACCACATGAATGTGTGAATGAAGATAGTCTTGTTGCCCATTTTATTGATGACAAAGTAGAGACCAAGAGAATTGACAGCCTGGCCCTAGAGTAGTAATTATCAGACCTGCATTCCCCGCAGAGCCACATAATAAAGTGGTGGAACAGCTGAGGAGAGTCTGCAGGTCGGGGAGGCAGAAGGCAAGGCTTAGTCCCAGGGACGCCTCTCAGCCTCAGTTCAACAGGAAGTAAGTTAACAGGAAGGAAGTGCCTGCCTTTGCTCTCTCACAGCGTGTTCTGTGTGCCAAATTCAAAAGCAAATGAAGTCTGTGAAAGTGTTTGCTGCAAGGCCAGTTTGCGGATTGTGTACACAGACCCAGTTGATTTCTCACTGGCCCAAGGCTGGTTGGATGTGGGAGCTCTCTCGTCTGACCTGAGTGGCCTGTGGAGTGTGTGGGCCGGGCCTGGGTGGGCCCAGCCGGGCTTCGTGGGGACGCAGGGAGGTTAGCAGGGAGAAATCTGACCTCCTTAGCGCTTGAAAGCATATTATCTGTTGAGTCTAATTCAATGTGAGGCTTATTTAACATTTAGAGTATTTTCATTTTAGTAGATAGGTTTTATTTGAGACTTGGGCTTTTTTGGGTGCTATTTTAGCTGTGAAGTAAAAATGCTTAAAGACTATTTTTCTGAGGTAAGGTAATTATGCTGACATGTTTAAATTTGAAAAAAATTGCTTCTTTTTCACAAAGCAAAGCATGAAAACATTCTGAGTGAAGCACGGGTCACGGCTGTGACCTGTCTGAATCTGTCTTTGTCTCTCTGCACACTGTTGTCTGTATGGCCAAGTACACCAAAGGGCGAATGACACCTGGATGTCTGGTTGTAATAGTTTCTTTTTCTTATAGTTACAAATAACAGGAGCTGGTCTCTGTGGTTAAATGAACGTTTCTCTCTTAATTTCCTCCATGAACCTGCCTAGGGGGCTCTTTTGAATGCTTAAATGACTTTACCAAAGTCTCGTTTTGACTATCACTTAACACCATTTTGGAATTCTGTCTGAAGAAGTGTCTAGTCATTTCCGAACATCTCCTCTTGACTATTCTTAAAGGCCTTTGTTCCCTTTCATTCTGTTTCATTTTATCTCACTTTTTAGCCTCCTTCTCAGATACCACTTGCAGCCTTTTTCCCTTGTGGAAGGACCCGTACTAGCTCCTGTCTGTAGTCTGTTGGGGCTCCTTAGGGCAGTGCTAAAGCCTTGTCAGCTGGTTGCTTCCAGAACGAAGTAACTTTTTATTTATTCTCAGGGATTTTCTGTTTCAGAAAACCAAATCTTTATGCTCTGTCCCAAGTGTAGCAGCCAAGATTCAATCCTTGAGCCTTTGTTGCTATTGCTGACCCTCGTTACTTTTCAAGGTGAGATTCAAACTTATGCCCTCCAAGGAACTTCCGTTAAACCTTACACTGTCGTACTCGTTTACTATGCCTTGTATAAGCACAAGGTTTATTTTAAGGTTTTAAAACATGTTACCATATTGTTGTGTGCTTAACTCTTGTCATTTTTTTCTAAAGCATTTTATGTTGTTAGACACGTGTGCGCGCACACACACGTACTTTCCCAGAGTCTAAGTTGGTTTTGTTTATTCCAGTTCATATTAATTTATTTTCCAAAATTTTCTTTTCCTGCAGGCTGTGCTGTGTGTGGTGTTCTTCACGTAGTCCTTTTATGGTGCATATTGACCTGACAACTCCTAAGGACTGAAAGGCTGCGAAAAAGCTCTTCTTGGAATGGCCTGTGCCAAGACAAAAGAATGCCAATACTTGATATTAAGTTACATATCCTTCAGTAACATTGAATCTTTTTTTTTGTACTGGGATGGAACTCAGGATCTTTCGCTCACTGAGCTAAATCTCTGGCAGTAACATTGAATTTTGTTAGTTACTAAGTACACCTGATATTCCTCACATTACAATGTTTCTATTAAGTACAAAGCAACAGTTTTTTTTTTTTAAATCCCTGAATATCATTGCGCTAGAAATTTTTTAGATATAAGGGTAAATACGAATTTGGGTTCTTCTCATTTTTCCTTCTTCTTTCCCCAGTAAGCTGTGCAAGGTTCTTGACCAACTGAATGTGGTTGCCCAAAATATAGTGAAGAAAACAGGTGTCTCTGTAAACTTCCCTAATTCTCACCGTAGCATTGTACAGCCAGATGAAAAGTATGCATGACATTTAAAAATTTAAATCAAGATTTTTCTTCTTACGGACAAAACTATTCTAATTATGAACAGTTTGTGCCAGTTGGAAGATGTATGGATTTAGTCCTTTGAGGACTGTGGCCCTGGGAGTATTTCTGGTGGTTTTATACATTGAGAAAGAAGTGAAGGGGTCTTACCTCTTGCTTTTTAGAATAAACATTATATAAAGTATCTCCATGAAGTAAAATCTTCAGGATTTAAGGAAACCAGGCATAAATTCCTGAGTCTCTCTCCCAAGAAGTCACACCAACTCTCGTCCCCCACAGCAAATTGTGACAGCAGGTGTACCGTGTTACCAGCCAGGGAAGCTTCTTAGAGACTCAGGGTATTTTATTATTTATTTATTATTAATTAATTTATTTATTTATTGCTTTTTTTTTTTGATAGGGTCTCACTATGCAGTTGAGACTGACCTGAAACTCACTATATAGCCCAGGCTGGTCTGCAACTCACAGCGATCCAGATGCCCACCTTTTTAAGGATAGCTAACACCTATTGTGTTAGCTCGGACCTGCCTAGCACCTTCTTTTAAATAACTCAAATAAAATGTTGGTGTCATAACATAGTATTTCATAACAACAGATTCCCAAGCATTCACTAGCATATGGAGGAAATCGTTTCTGAATGGAACAGTGCAAAAACAGCCACGGGAATGTAACAAAGCCTTCCTGAGGAAAAGCTGCAGGAGGTAGAGAATTCTTGTGCTGAGTAGAGATGACTAAGGCCTGAGAGATTTATTCGGTGAATTCCCTGCAGTTAGCATATCTATAGAGACCTAGCAGGACATGGGCTTAAGTGCAAGGAAAGGAGGTTTTGGCTGAATGTGAGTGACAAGGTACCAGAGTAGAGGTCCCTGCGATCCTTGAGAAGAACGTGGTGACCAGCTCATCTCAGTAATTTGTCTATTCACTTATCCAAAAGAATGAGAGCAGGTGGAATTAGCTGATTTTTTTCAGGTGACTTCAGCTCTACCACTTTGATTCTATAGATTTAAAATAAAGAGCTAGTACCAAAAATAAATATATATTGTGCTGTTAAAATTATTTTTGAAAAAGCATAAGGCTGGGAGTGTAGCTCAGTAGTACAGCACATGCTTGCTTTGCTCAATGCCCTGGGCTCAGTCATCAGCAGTGGAACAAATTTTCCTTTAAAATATTTATTTTTAAACCCCAAAGGAGTGAACCAGGAGGATTTGTGATTCCTACCTGTTGCCTGCAGGTATAGCTATTTGTATATTTATAATGAATAAAACTTGTATCCATAGTTTGTGCTTTCTGCAAGCAACTGTGCGAAAAGAAACATTATTTAGTGTAAAATTATGAATCACTTGAGACTTATTTTTAAAAGCTCTTCTTCTGTTATTTAAGTCTTATGGAAGGGTGTATAGCCCAAGTTATATGGCCTATGAATTTTTCTGTAGTTTCATTATTGGAAACTTAATAGAAACACAAATAGGAATGCGAAAAGAATAAATTAGAGTGACTGTATTAGTTACTTTTCTGTTTTTGTTTTTTGAGACAGGGTCTCACTATGTAGTTGAGACTGACTTGGAACTCGCTATGTAGCCCAGGCTGGTCTCAAACTCACAGAGATCTTCCTGCCTCAGCCTCCTGAGTGCTGGGATTACAGGCGTGTGCCACCACGCCCGGCCACTTAGTTACTTTTCTTGTTGGTGAGAACAAAAATACCTAACATCCAGAGTTAAAAGGGGGGAAAGGTTTATTTGGCTTCCAGTTCATAAAGGTTTTAGTCCATAATCAGCTGGCTGCAAGGCTATATACAGTCCATGGCAGACAGACAGTAGCAAAGCAAAGAGACCTTAACAGCAGCTCCCTGCCCCTTGTATTTTATCCAGACTACTTAGGGCAGTAGCACTCACACCCTAATCCTAGTGCTCTCATGCCTAGCATTGCCTCACGAATCACATACTTTACATTCAGCCACCTTCAAAATAGCCCTACCTGATTTGCATAGCTGATTATGGGCATTCCAAGGAGCTTTGGAGGGACATCTAAACATGAGCCATGGCAGTGACTTTGGAAAACAGACGCTATATTTGCTTATGTTAATATTTGCTAGTGTTGCTTTAAGAATGATGTGACTGGGGAGACGAGAGGGAGGAAGGCAAAGAGTAAGTAAAAAAGATCCAGATGCAATATGTATATGTACCAACTCCCCACAATGAATGTACTTACTGTGTATCACAAACATACATTAATAAAAAATAAAAAGGAATATGCTGTGTAGTTTACACATACTTGTGAATGTTCTAGTTTTCCTCTTATTATTTTAGTTTCCATTGTGTTTATAAAGATATTTTGTGTGACTTCAGTTTTTTCAAACATACTGTTTTATTCTATAACCGGACATATGGTTCACCCTAGACTCTTGTACGTGGACTTGGGAAGATGAATATTCTATTGTATTGTGTTTAGTTGTCTAAGGTCCAGTTGGTCTATGGGGTTATTCAAGTTCTGTATTTCTCTGTTGATTTTCTGTCTGTTCTATCCAGAAAGGAGAATGGAGTATTAAACTATTCTACTGTTACCACAGGATTATCTTTAAGAAGATAGAGCCATGGGCTCCGCACTCAAAAGACATCATGGAGACTCTGTCTAGTTATAACAGCAGTGACTTTTGCATGTAATTTTGGAATAACAGTTATTTCTAACACCCAGTGGTGCATTTTTCTTCTTTTATTTACGTAACTTTTCAAGCTACTGGTTAAAGTTAGAAAGTGCTCAATAGGGGGGAAAAAAGAACCAAGATATATTATGTAAAGGTACAAATTTCCAATGATGAATGTATCATATTGTATACCTAAAATGTACCAATAAACAATGAATAAAAAAATTTGTTCAATAAATGAATAGATAAACACTTTATATTTTAAATAAGGCACGTTAAAATTTATGGTACCCATAGTTGGAGCTTTTATACAATGCAACATGCTTTGATTTCTTTGCTTCTGTATCCTTCTATATTTCTTTTTTATTAAAAAAATTTTTGTTTCTGGTACCAGGGATCCTCTATATTTTTTGTTTGCACTGTATATATAAATTTATTTGAGGGTGTTCAATCATTTTTTTCAAATAGAGATTCATAGCTTGATAGTCGTCTGAAAATGTAAATATTAGTGATTTTCTTATCTGTCAACTAGAAATGAATAGTAATGTTAGCATGAAATTAAACTCATTAAATTATACTTTTACGACTTGTGCATACCATACGTGACAGGTTGTTACAATAGTACTTTTCTTGCTGACGTTCCATAGCATTGCCATAGAATCATATCACAGACCATGACCCTGAGACAAATCCCCATGCACAGAATTTACAGAGGAAGGGCTCAATGGTCAGTTCCGTGAGTCTTAATCTCTTAAACAGTGTTAAGGGTAAGCAAGTTTTCGAGAATGTGGAGAAGATGATCGGTAAAGGAGTTCTTTGGCATGAACTGTTGCCTGCAATCACTGTCACCCACCCTCACTCCTTCATCTCAAGTGAAGGGAGAGAGAAGCTTCAGCAGGGTTTTGAGTGAGCCCGATATGGTGCCCTGGGTTGGCCTTGTGTTGCCTGCAGTTCCCGAGTCAGTTGGGCCAAAGAACATGCGCCTGTTTGCTGATAACCAGGTGTGGGCCTCATGGAGGAAGCCATGAGCATGAGGTTGGTTTGAGTCCCAGTCAGACCCCTTGAAGGACAGAGAGACCTTAGTAGTAAGAATCAGAAGATGAACACTGGGAACCTAAGGAGCTAAGGAAGGAGTTGCAAGAAACTGCCTGATAAAAAAGATGCATATTCTCACACCATGAGAACTGCAAGAGTCCCTTGTGGCAGAGCCTTAGAGGTGTCCACAGAGTGGGATGTCAACAGTTTCTGGCCCAGAGTGAATACAAGTCAGTCTGCTATGCCCCCATTTCTGTGTTAGTTTTCTATGCTGTATAACAAGTTACTTAAATTTAGCAGATTAAAATAGCACACAGGTTTTGTTATGTCACAGTGTCCAAGTCAGGAGTCCAGCTGGATCATCTGTTTACTCTCTTACAAGACCGCAGTTAATGTATTAGCCCGGCTATCATCTCATCTGAAGGGCTGGACAGAGGAGGATCCTCCTCCCGGCTCATGTGTTTACTGGCAGAATTCAGTTTCTTGTGGATAGAGGACTCATAGCAGCTCACTTCCTCACAGCAGAGAAGGAAAAGCAGACCGAGTCTACTAAAAAGGCAGGAGTCTTATGTGAGCCTCAGGTGATCATGGGTGATGTCCCATTGTCTTTGTCATATCCCACTGGCTAGAAGCAATCACAGGCCCCAAATGCTTTTAGGGAAGTCTGTAGCAGGTTTTGAGGGCTGCTGAAATAAAATAATGCCAACTGATGGCTTGAATTTATTCTCAGTTCCGGAATCTAGAAGTCTAAAATCAACTCCACAGAAGGAGTGTAAACAGTATGCACTGCAAACATGTACGAATATAAAAATGCAAAAAAGAAAAATCAAACCATCAGGAGGGGAGTGTGCCTCTGAAACCCACAGAGGATCGGCTGCTTTCTGGCTTCTGGTGGTGTTGGCAATGCTTGGTGTCCCTTGACTTGCAGTGGGAACACATCAGCCTCTGTCTCCCAGTTATATTCTCCCCCATGCGTTCACTTGCACTGTCTCTCTGTCCTTTCCTTAGGAGGGCACCATTCATACTGAATCAGGGCCTGCTGTAGCTCAGTGTAATTGCATCTGAACTTGATTATATCAGCAAAGATAGTATTTCCAAATAAGGTCACATTAACAGGCTAACTTCAAGGTAGTTTTTGGGAGACACAATTCAATGTGTGAACGTTGTTGGGAGGAGGAAGCTCTGGGTGTAATTGCAAGTCATGTGCCAGCAATTTTGGTTTTCTCTGGATGTGTTCACCTTAAGAAAGCTTTGGGACTGCCCTTATGAAAGGGGTAGCCATTCTGCTGCTTTCCCGTCATCATTGTCCAGTAATGGAGATCATTATTATCATTATTATTATTATTATTTTCCGAAACTGGGGATGGAACTTAGGACCTTGCGCTTGCAAGGCAGGCATGGTGTCACTGAGCTAAATCCCCAACCCTGAGGATCATTATTGACACTCAAAAACCAAGGCTTTTTTGGTTTGTTTTTGTTTTGAGACAGGGTCTTGCTATATAGGTCAGCCTGGTCTTGAACTCACTGTGTAGCCCAGGCTGGTCTCAAAGTGGCAGAGATCCTCTTGCCTTGGCCTCTCAAGTGCTGGGATTACAGGTGTGCACTACCATGCCCAGCTAGGACCGAGGTTTGTAAAAATAAGACTAGAAAACAGAATGAATGTGTAGCTGTACATGATTTAAAAAGAAGGCATAATATTGAAAGGTGATGGTCATGAGAAAGTGG